CGAATTTTAAATGCACACAGACATTGAGGGTTCTCAGGAGGGGACGTGCTGACGCCTGCTCTCTGGCAGGAAGCACCACGCCCTCTCATGTTTAAATGTGTGTACTGCAACCTGTGTGTCTTCACGTTGGGTGAGTGTTGAGTTTTTGTATATGTGTGCATGAGGGTGGGAATGCATGTTTGTGTCTGTCTGTTCGTCTATGTGTCAGATCGGGTTTTAGACTCCACCTCTCAGGCTCTCCCAGGTGTGGGGGCCTATCTCCTCCCACCACATTCCCTGCCGGTGGCAGATGCCCTCAACCGTCGGCTGCAGCCCTGCAGGAACGACAGCCGTGCATAGAAGCTGGTCAATAAATATGATGAAAAGCATGAAAATGTCTTTGGGTCTGCCGTGGTTTGTTTACAGTGGTAATGCCAGGCTTGTAGCTGGTTAAGTGCTGAACTCCATGCCATACCTGTCATGAGTTGCTGTTGCTGAAGTGGTCTTCAGTTTTCCTTCATTTCTGTCAAACAAAGTTGTATGACACGTTTCCAGCGGTTAGTATCATGGTTGCTAGGCAACCTGGGGAGCGCGATGGAGACTAGACCGTCCCGTACAGACAAACTTGCTGTTTATTTTGCAAATCGAGCTCAACACTGCCCCTAGCGTCCTGGAGCACTTCCGTTGTGTTTTGGAATTTGCATGTGCTTTGGAGTTTGAGCACTAGGAGTAGAAAATGTTTGATTTCTTTTTGATTTCTAGAAGAAGTGGTTATAATGTAGGCTTACACATACAGATATTACATAGATTTATTTCTAGGATAGAGGAGAGAGCTTATACGTAGACATGATTTTTACACATTGCATTTTTGTGCTAATTAAAGAGTTGTGGCTCAGTCTATTAATGAAGGTCAAAAGCTTTGTTTGACGCGAATGTCCAGGCAATTTATTGTGAAAGGAGGCTTAGAGCATAAAGGGGCGCACATGCTTACAAACACATAGAATCCATAAACCTGAAATTCATTTAGCTTATAACTGCATCTGGCTGAAAGAGGAGAAACTTGTTGATATAATTCGTGCCATTAACAAAAAGGGGGCCACTGTAGAAGTTAACTCTAGTTGATAGAGGAGCAAAATGAAATAAAGATGCTATATCAACGACAGGTTATGACACAGGAAATGTGAGTTTTAAAGTGAGGTGAGTGTCAACACAGGGGTTGTTTCTAGGCAGCGTTTAGCTCTGATGAAATTTACGCATGAGTAATTGCTTATATGCTTAAACTTAATTGATTAAAATGGTTGTTTTCTTTGATCTTTTAGTAGAATAGGTGCTTATAATGATTTGCTTGTGATTTATTGTGAAAGGTGACTTTTAGGGCAGAGTGGAGGCACTTGCAGCAGCGACAGTTCTGTGTACAGGATGTTGACGATCAGATAAGGGAGAATAGAGCGAGCAACAGGAAACATATGCAGGGACGTGAAAGCAGCGCTTTAAGAGTGTTAAAATGATGAGTACGGAGATGAGTAACGTTGAAGAATAGGTATAAATAATAGTTAATAAGTCAAAAGATAATTAGGTTCATGCTTTTGATTAAAGAGTCCCAAACATGATAAGTTAGGGAGGCGTAGGAAAAGGTGTTTTGTTCCTTTTGCAGGAGATCTCGGCTACCACAGGGGGTGAGGATCCTGGAGGCCCGAGACCTGAAAGACCACAAGAGAGGGACCCAGAAAAAACCTAATCTCATGCATGGACTGTTCTTAAGGGGGAGCTGACGTTTATTACTGGACCACCATGATGACATGATGTTGTTATCTGATTGGCTGAGCCACAAGAC